AATTAATCGTGTACTCGTAAATAAAACCATATATCACAACCATCACGGATATCCGAATATCCAAGATGATAATAGACCCGGGTAACTGATTGCTATTAATCACTAATAAAATACATCATTTTTTATTATATAATCATATCAATCATTATATTTATTTTAATATGATCTAACTTTATTGCAATAACTTCTTTACGATCATATATATAAGCTTCTAAAAAATATACATCCCAATTCTGTTTAAAGCCAAGATCAATCAAAGGTATTTCCACAAGAATATTGATATAGTAACATCGATTATACTAATCGCTAATCTAAAAGCCTTAATTTTTATCAAAGTGAACAGTCTATTATAAAATAAGGTTATCAGGCATGTATCGTGCAAATAAAAATGATGAAAACTTAATGTAGTATCTAATACACTATACTTTACTTCCCACATCGATTCGAATGCAATAATAGATATGAGATGGCCAAAATAAAGAATCAAGTCCAATTGAGTATCCGTCCAGTTTAAAAGAACTGCATACAAGTAACACTATCGAGGTAAATATAATTAATAGTTTAATCAATAGTTATTAATAAAATCGAATATTATGAACGTTGAGTAATATCTCAGCTATACCCAATAAAAATATATTAACAAAACAACCCCTAGCACCCAACTAAGTTTTACTGAATGGCAGGCTATAAGTAAGGAAACCTAGAGTTTATAATTAGATGCAATCTTACCGAATGCTTAAAACGTAAATAAAACCTAAAAAATATTGAACGAAAGTGTCGACTACTATAAAATAAAGCATTTTCTGATTAGAAGCATAATATAGAAAGGCGCATATAAATGAACTTACCAACTGTAATCCAAAAAACTCACAAATTCATCTTATCAAAGGCTCGACTCATTATTTTTTTTTTTTGTTATAAGCAGATGTTTCTTTTTTGAAAATTTCGGACGTAATAATAAAGACTATTTAGTTAGATAAAAAACTTTTTTTTTCTTTAAAGTTAAAAATATTAAATTGAAGATCCTTATTATGCACAAATCTTATTGGAGCCAGTAATTTATTATTACCCCAAAAAATGTGATGCCCAGACGTCTCGCAATACAGCTCCAATTCTTCTAAGTTCTTTTTTTTTCATTTTATAAAATATCACCAAGTAAGTGTATCTCCGACCACATATTCTATGGATCTTTCAGACCATTTACACATCCCACTTCTCTAACATTTGATCGTCCGTTTTAAAAATAGAAAAATGTTGCATATTGCGCTTAAGAAACATCATTCGCTCGACCATATCCGGCTGAAGCCTATTGCGCAACACTGTAATATGTAATCCAGCATCAGAAAATAGACGTTCCGAGGGGACCGAAGTTGCTGGCACTGATAGATATTTTCGGGCCAGGTTTGATAATATGGGATATCTTTTTGTTCTGTCTTTTCACCATACTAATGGATCACAGTTTATTTTTTCAAGAGGCTCATTAAGATAGCGATCAACTTCGTCCTTCTCTGTAACTTTATCCAATTCTTCATCCCTATATAATGCTGCAATTAAGTCATTAAACGTTGCAGGTTCAGAAGTTAACATGCTAGATGACTCAAAAAACCTATTATTTCTTTGAAATTTTTCAACTGAAGGTTGGCGATATTCTTTCTTAATATAAAGTTTTTGCACCGTATTGATTAT